CTTTTTTCTAGTTGTGGACGAAATCCGCAGGTATTGTCAGCCACCATTCTATTTAAAAAATACTTCCTTCGTTTCATAATATAAGAGTGATGTTATGTTATGGGATAAAAAGAGTATGTTATAATAACTAGCAAATATGTCCGTGCGTTGCAACGGCTGAAAAACTAAATGAACACGTTGTCCAAGACACAAGAATCACGCTATGGTGATGTCCTGAAGATTTTTTTTAAAATTATATGCCAAAATAAGGTAAGGACTTTTAAAAAGCAATTGAGACTAAAAAAGCTACGATGTTATCATTGCCTAATTTCATATTATAGTCATTTTTGGTTCTGTAAAGGCAGCCTCCATACACCGCAAGCATGAGAGTTGTTGTCTCCAAGCTTGATCTCCCTCCAGCCTTAAAGTACATCTGAAAGGATCGAGAAAAGATGTCTAGAGGGGGGGTGAATAGACTTCTAACAAAGAAAAGTTTTTATTTTCTTCAAGTTAAGGTGGAGTTTTAGCACAAGTTTAAATATTCACAATACATTCAAGCAAGCATGGCAACAGTATATGAGCAGCGGAAAGTAAAGCATTCAATTTGCAAAAAAATAAAGGGATGGGATTGGAGTGTGCAAACGCAATTGGAGACACGAAGATTTTTTGCGTGGTTTCGATAGGCGGTGCTATTGTACATCCACGTTGATGGAGACTTCAACCCACGAAAGGTAACGGTTGCGCAAGTCCACGGAGGGTTCCACCCACGAAGGGTCCACGAAGAAGCAACCTTGTATATCCCATCATGGCCATCGCCCACGAAGGACTTGCCTCACTAGGGTAGATCTTCACGAAGTAGGCGATCTCCTTACCCATACAAACTCATTAGTTCAACTCCACAATCTTGACGGAGGCTCCCAAGTGACACCTAACCAAACTAGGAGACACCACTCTCCAAAAGGTAATAGATGGTGTGTTGATGATGAACTCCTTGCTCTTGTGCTTCAAATGATAGTCTCCCCAACACTCAACTCTCTCTCACACACACTGGTTTGGATTTGGTGAAAAGAAGATTTGAGTGGGAAGCAACTTGGGAAAGGTTAGAGATCAAGATTCATACGGTTGGAATGGGATATCTTGGTCTCAACACATGAGTAGGTGGTTCTCTCTCAGAAAAATGGATGTTGGAAGTGTAGGCATGTTCTGATGGCTCTCTTCACGAATGAAGAGTGGGTGAAGGGGTATATATAGCCTCCACACAAAATCTAACCGTTACACACAAATCGCCAAACTCGGTGGGACCGAATCAGAAAACTTGGTCGGACCGATTTAGTTCATAATGTGACCATTAGGCATTTCGATGGGACCGATATGATCAACTCGGTGGGACCGATGTGCTAGGGTTAGGGTAAAACCTCATCTCGGTTTGACCGATTACACAAACTCGGTGAGACCGATTTTGGTAATAAGAAAAACAAAGAGTTGGTCAAGCAAACTCGGTGGGATCGATTGCATATCTTAATGGGACCGAAATTATTGCAATAGGTAACAGAGAGTTTGCAAGCCCATCTCGGTGAGACCAAGATCCCATCGGTAAGACTGAATCGATTAGGGTTTCTGGCAGTGGCTATGTCAAGTGAACTCGGTGGCGCCAGATGGAAAATTTCGGTAGAGCCAAGTTGGACTTTTGGCTTGGGACATATGTGGATATGAGGAAGTGGTTGAGGGCTTCTGGAGCATATCACTAAGCACTTAGAGCAAGCAACCCATTAAGCAACACATCATCCCTTTTTAATAGTATTGGCTTTTCCTATGGACTCAATGTGATCTTGGATCATCAAAAGTAAAATGTAGAGTCTTGAGCTTTAGAGCTTGAGTCAATCTTTTGTCCTTAGCATTTTGAAGGGGTTCCACATCCTCTTGTCCACGCCACTCCATCTCTTGAACTTGTCTGAAATATACTAGATGAAAACATTAGTCCAACAAGAGATATGTTGATATTAATTACCAAAACAACCCAGGGAGCACTTGTGCTTTCCATCTCCCCATTTTTAGTAATTGATGACAACATACATCAAAGCTTTAGATAAAGATATAGAGAATAACAGGTAAAGCTTTGGAAAAGACATGTAACATGCATAGACTCCCCCTACATGTATGCATCCATGTCAATATGGAATGTAAGAGCATGTGAATGCATAATCATGACAGAGCAAGCAATGTGTTACATGTATCTTGACTATATGCATCAGAGCAAATGATGTGAATATGTGAAGTGTAACTTCATGTTCATGATTACTCCTTGCAAACAATATGTACATTAGCAAGAAATATCCATGCACATGAGTGTGATGCATATACTTACCTTGTGGTTTTGAGCTGGTTTAGGAAGAGCTGAACCCGAGTAAACAAGGTTAGATATCACAGGTACAACTACTAGACAGAGTAAATCAAAGAGCCACAAGAGTACCAAAACTGGGATGACATGTAGAGAATGAGTACTAGGTATTCCCATTGGATATAGACATGTCCCCAAAGGTAAAGATATGCAATGAATTTAGGATTTCCTTCCCTTGGATGTCTTTCTCCCTATGAATCTTATATTTGATAATGGGAGAATATAGGGAACAGAAAATCAGAGCAAAATAGATCAGAGCACAGAAACATAAGACAAACATGTCTCTCCCCTCTTAAAGACATGTGACTTCTCTCCTCTTGAACACCAAGCATATGGGGCCTTTGACGTGATTATCTCTCCCCCTGTTGAAGTACTCTCTCCCCTTTTTAAGTGATTAAGCTTTGAAGTGATCTCTATCTCCCCTTTTGACATCAATTTTCAAGAAGGGATCTTCTGGAGTATGAGTCAAAATAGGTTTGGTCCTTGAGTCACAGAGCAAAGCGGCACATAGAATATGATGCTGATAGAGGAGAAGAATCATCGAGTGGAGCTGGAACAAAAGTGCAGGAACAAGTGGCAAATTGTTTTCTCTGCAGTGAAATCGGTGACACCGAGTTATATTTTCGGTTGCACCAAAATGGTTCGGCTTGACCGAAAGAGATGAATCGGTATGACCGAGTTCAAGACAGAGAGAACATTTGTCACCTCAACTCACTAGGCAAAAAGGATCTTGTCGGGGATATACCCTACAGTATGATCCGGCCAGAGTTATAAACCGGCAGGTTGATAAACCGGCTGACAGTTAAGACAGACAGTTAAAACAGGTAGTTAACCCAGACGGTAAACCGGCGGGTTGATAAACCGGCTGACAGTTAAGTCGGGTGTTAAGTCAGATGATACCCCGGCAGGAGTTAAGTCAGATGATAACTCAGTAGACAATCATAAACCGGCACCAGTCATAAACAGGCAGACCATCATAAACCGGCACCAGTCATAACCCGGCAGACAGTGATAACTGGGTTGCCAGGAGTTATGAAGCCCGAGACGTTATGAATCCCGAGACGTTATGAAGCCCAAGATGTTAAGAAGTCCATGAAGAGAATTCATAATAGTTAAGTCTTAAGTCCGAGTTGGACTCTACATGTAACCCGCCCCTTCAACTTATATAAGGAGGGGCAGGGCTCCCCAAAGTGGGACAAGTAAGAAGAAACAATCTTAAGGGTTAGGGATAACTGGGAGAGCCGGTTTACGGCGACTTCCTCATGATCATAATGAGATCTAGCCACAAACAACATGTAGGGCTATTACTGGATGATGTTTCCCGGGGCCCGAAGCTGTCTAAATCCTTGTCTTCTATTGCGTCTCTCGATTCTGATCAACCCCTCTCAAGCTACCACATAGATGCGTTGGTCTCATGACTAAATCCTCACACTAGGACATCTGCCGTGATATTTCCACGACAGTTGGCGCCCACCGTGGGGCCTGCGCACGGTGGTGATGAGTTTCTTGAAGGGATCTTTCTAGAGTTTCGAGAAGTTCGTAAATTTCCGGATGAAGAAAAATCGGTTTTGGAAGATTACAATCGACCGGGTCAGCATACGGAAGGACTTGCATCAACTCTAATCCCATCGGTTGAGATCAAGGAAATTATATTGAGTCGCCATGGACAATCTCTACAGTTTTTGGTGCAATCTGCATTATCTGTTTAGTCGCCATGGATGCAACCCGTGCGTATCTATTTGAACCGATCGACAGCGAAACCGATTTGAAGTATAAGGAACTGAAGGCTTAACCCTAGCTTAGTCATCACACACTGTTAGCAAACCGGAGTCAAAGGAAAAAAGACAGAAGGGCCACAACCCGGAGGAAGACACGGGTGTCAAGCAACCACGGCCACGACCCAGATTCCCCGTCATTGCCATGACCCGCCGCTTTGACTCGAATCGCCGCCGTTTTGACTGGCTCATGACCATGTCGTCTCCACTCCGGTCCGGCTTACTCCCGGCTGAGAACCGCCCGCACCTGGACTCTGTCTCGCATCGACCGAGCCCCTCCGCCGACGCACCCCCGCTGTGGTTGCCCTCACCGGCGCCGCCTTGAGTCGCCGCCTCATTCCGAGCCGCCGCAACTTTGCCTGAATCTGCCGCCGGGGTCCCTCGTCAAACCGCCATCCCAGGCCTCGGGCCGCTGGGGGCCTCCTGCCGTCGCAGCAAGCGCGCCTGCCAGCCCCATTGCATCGTTTCCAGAGCCACCGCCCGGGCCACCCCGGC